GCATGACACAAGTTATGGGATTAAAGATGTTACTGGCATGATGTACGTAATTTGTCACAAGGTTACATTGATCTACGAGTGGCTGAATTAGGCAAGGGAGTTTGAAAGGAAATCATCACTGCGCAAGTAATCATGGCTAGTTCCACTTTTGGAGGGTCACCACCCGAAAGACCGTAAGTTCAAGAATCGCTCCCAATCCCTCTAGGTTTGTGCTTGTCGTGATATAGGCTTTCGTTATATCCGCCCCGGAAGTTCTTCCGTGCGTCTCGCTAGTCGTGGACACTGCATGGTAGCAGCCTGTGTGCGAAGCAACTTGTGACCGAGGTTGCAGCCAATCCTGGATGCAGCGCAGGCCCGAGCACCTGCCAGTCAGTCTAGATCGAGAAGGCAAAGCTCGCGCTGACATTCGTACATGAGTTTCAAGACTCCGTGCAGGTCCCCAGCATTCTTTGTTGCCACGCGTGCATCACGATGCCTGTACTTCTGAGCATTAACATGTCGTTGGCTCCGTTAACATACATGTGTCGCATGCACACATGTTCCAAAACTCTAGATCTGGCACTAATCCACTATTGCCCTTGCCCATGCCAGAGCCTGAGAGTGGCTGATCTGCTTGCCCTTCGCCGTTGTAATGCCTTTTTCAAAGAGCAACTTGCGAATCTTGGCCAGGTCGCCTGCCTGGATCTTGTTGTTTTTCAACACCTTGCGGATGACTCCTTTTATGACGTTACCTTCCTTGGCTTCCAAACGATTCGGCTTGCCGCCCAGCTTGGGAGTGCCCTGCATTGTCACCTTGCTGGACTTCTGCAGGTTGATGTCTCGTCCCTTCTTCAAGCGAGTGACAAGATCGTTTCTGTGGAACTCGGAAATCGCTCCAATAAGCTGCCGAACAAGTTTTGCATAAGGCGAATCATCTTGGAAATGGTCAGGGTTGGCTGCAGAGATGGCAGAGAAACCCATGTCGCGCAAGAGGTTTAACCCCAGCTCCTGAACAACCACACACCTTGCAAATCGTGAGCAATCTTCGACGATGATCCGGGCGATTCCACGCTGCTGTGCATACTCCAACATTTTCAGAAAGCCTGGCCGCTGCTGCAAAGGTGTGGTGCCCGACACGCCCACATCCTGGAACAGGCCACCTCTGTCGAGTCGAAGTGCATGTTTTGCTGCGAACGCTTTGACCGCCTCTGCTTGCCTCTTGAGACTCGTTTTCCCGTCACCGCAATTGGCCTTTGATGACACCCGAAGGTAAGCCACGGCGACGGCCTTCATGGAGCGGCACCTCAGGTGACTTTGTCACTTGCAAGGCTTGATCCAGGAATTGCTGGCAGAATCTGCGTTAAGACTCCAGGCGTGAAATTGCAAGCTGCCGCTGTTTAAGTGGCTCATCCAGTGCTTAAGTGGCTCAGATTGCAGCCGATGGGCCTTTTCGGCTTCATGAGGATGGCCTCATACTTGTGAGCCTCAGTTACGGTTTAGAAAGTAAACATCGGAAGCCCGTCATAAAGTAAAGTTTAGAACCACGTTGCAAGTCCGTCTCTGGTTCCAGGATGGAGGTAATTAATAACAGAACTCAATCATCTAGAATCGTATGATAGTCATGTAAGCTTCTATAGGACTCAAAGTAGGACTCAGGATTTATCAGTACTGCGCTGGTGCTGCAGAAGTACCCTCAACCTGGGCTTAGTACTGCACTGGTGCTGCAGAAGTACCCTCAACCTGGGCTTAGTACTGCGCTGGTGCTGCAGAAGTACCTTAACCTGCTTAGGGCCTGCTGTTTTGCGTTTCCGTGATAAGATCGGTGTAGTTCCTAAAGTCAACATGTCCTTGGTTTTATGGGTATCACCTTTGTTATAGCGACCCAGAATGACCGAGATCCCCTCCGAGGCGAGCCCACAAATGCTTATAAACAAGCCTCTTCAAGGTTGCCGCCCGCCGTGGCCAGGGAAGCCTCGGCCGAGATCCCGGAAATATTAAGGGCAGATGTATACAACTGGCATAGAGATTCGAGGTTCAACTATTTGTGAGGAGTCAGTACTCCTGGTGATTGTGGCGCGCATCCTGCTAGTGATTAGTGGTATTCTAAAGCTCGTAGTTGTGGTGTTTTCTGTGCAACCCGAGATTACTTAGCGTTCACTCGCAGATTTTCCTGTACCCTTGCATGACACAAGTTCCGGGATTAAAGATGTCACTGGCAT